CTTCCGTGAATTACTATTTCTTCTTTTCCAAAACCAAAAATGAACATTTAAAAAGAAATTCATTGCAGATTCTTGGCTATGAAATAGGTTAGGAAATCTATTTTATTCAGTGTTTTAAAAATTTGAATATAAAGTCCACTTTTCTAATCTTCTGACCTCTCTTAATCTCCCTGGTTTCCCTGAAGCCCACTGAGTATCCTTGTACAATATGTAAGTCCTTCTAGGTAAGGGCTTAATTCGTTTGAAGCAGCCCAGGGCTCATCTAGAAATGTCACTTTCTTCTGGACTTCCTTGTACGTTACTCAAATTCAAGTAAGTCTCACTGTTAGCTCAAGATCCATGTTAGTTGTGAGTAGTCAGAGAGAGAGAGAAACGATTTCTACTTTCTGGTAGGCCTTATTTCCAAACATATTGTTATTGGGTAAAAATAGCTTCCAATATATGCATTGGAGAGGGATATTGTTCCATCCATAGCCTTTATTAAGTTCCAAAATATTGGTGAGAAATATCAGCTGGTGGGTGGCGCATTTCTTTATTGACTGGTGGAATAAGTGAGTCTGTCACTCGGGAGTGTTCACCTGGAAGGGAGGGAGAGGGGCTCAAACAGGGCAGGGAGCTCCTCTGTGGCTCTTCAGAACACTCCCATATCCAACAGGATCCTACCACTGTATCCCACAGGTCACAGTGCCTCTCATGTCTTCCGTACTGGAGAATAGAAGGTTAGTACAAAGGATTAATGGGGGCACTGGTGTGGGTTTCGTTTTGTATGGATCAGTTCACTTGGAGCTGGGCTGCTCCATTGCCACAGACTACCGCTGCTGTGTCCTTCCCTGGACATGGACAGTTTAGAACAACCCAGACACGAATAAATGCAGGAAAGTATAGAAGAACAGCTTGCTACTCCAATATGAATCCCCGTTCAGATTAAAACAAACAACAGATGAAACACTCAGGATGTGTTGGGTCACAACATGCATGATTTCAGTGCAGTGGAAGTCCTGTTTTGTTTTGTTTTGTTTTTGCCAGTCCCAAGGCTTGAACTCAGGGCCTGGGCACTGTCCCTAAGTTGTTTTTTGTTTTGTTTTGTTTTGTTTTTGCTTAAGGCTAGCACTCTACCACTTGAGCCACAGTGCCACTTCCGGCTTTCTGTACTGAGGAATTGAACCCAGGGCTTCATGCATGCTAGGCAACAATCTACCACTATGCCACATTCCCAGCCCAGAAGACCTGATTTTAAAAATGGAAAGGTTTGGGTTTAGTGCTATTTCAGTCAGTTCTCTCTCTCTCTCTCTCTCTCTCTCTCTCTCTCTCTCTCTCTCTTTCTCTCTCTCTCTCTCTCTCTCTCTCTCTTTCTTTCAGTTTAAAGGTAACATTTAAGTTTTGTAATACATGTTTCTTCAACAAAAGTTTAATTGAAAAGTGAAAAAAATTAAATCATCTATGAAATTGCTCAACATTTTAATGGTTTTGTTCCCAAGCTCTTCTTTTACATAGTTAAGTTACCTATTCAGAAGTCTACTCTAGATTCGTATTCATTCTTCACATAGTAAGTTATGAAATAATATTTTGCACCATACTGGGGCTTTAACTAAGCATTGTCCCTCAACCTTTTTCTTCTCAAAGTTGCTGCTCTACCGCTTGAGCCACGCTTTACTTCTGGCTTTTTGTTGGCTAATTGGACACAAGAATCTCACATAGACTTTTCTGCTGGGCTGGCTTCAAACTGTTATCCTCAGATTTTCATCTCCTGGGTAGCTAGGATGACAGATATGAGTTACAGGCACAAGGCAATACAAAAAATTTTTTAAATTATAAATCTACATGTCTACAAGTCACTTAATTTCAATCTGGATTAAGTATCTTGTTGTTACCAATATACACATAGGTAGCAGAAACAACAATTCACTTTTCTCTCAGACATTATGTATAGTTCAGTAACAATATTGGTATATTCAAAAGAACCCAGAATTCAGCATGTCTGTTATTCCTTAGATGACAAACCAAATAATATAAACATTAATTAATTCATAATTGATAAGTTGTCAAATCTATTTTTCCTCTTCTTTTGTCATTTCAATTAATGAGAATTTAGTGATGAGATGAACAAAGAACCCCAGTCATCCATTTAGGGTTAATCAATCACTAATGGTTCATGCATTCCATCAGTCAATAACCCCATTATCCAAGGTCTTCTGTTATTATTTCTCTCTGCACCAAAATGGGCATCTTCTCCATCAATTGGCTCAACTAGATTCAGGACTTTCTCTCATACATGATTATATTCTGTAAGTGACTCAATTTCCCCTCCTCCAAAATATGAAATTGAATTTTCTAACAACTTACATTTCCAGTAATAGTTTCATAGTTGTCTTGAGAAAAATAAATATCGGTGGAAACTTCCTACATGTTGTGGGTGCACCAACCTTCACACTCAATGTCTATGGTATCTGTGTACATTTTGTCTAACTTTGTTCCTGCCTGTGCAATATATGCTGTCCCTGGTTTGTGACAGAGTTGAGTTCATCTGGATGGAAATTTAAGAGAACATGAAAAAACAATTATAAGAAAACTAATTTTTGTTGAGTGTGGACTATGATAATTCAGTGCTTCCTATATTTTATTACACGTAAAAGCCTAACCTATGGGTTAGGAATTATCTTTGTAAAACAAGAAGGCTGAAAGAAGGTGTAAGGTATAGAAATATTAATTGAGTTTAAGCCTCATGCTGGTTTCTGTGCTACTTAAAGCACATGGATCATTTAATTTAACCTTCACAGCACCACCTTCTGAGGTAATACTTTTTAAAAATTTAACACATGGCAGGTAGAATGAATGGAGTTCAAATGGAGTTTTCCATTGTCGCTATTCATTTTAACATGCAGCCCAATACCTATGCCCAGCTTATAATAGAGACGTGAAGATTTTCAAAGGGAAAGGTGAAAATGGTTTCTTAAACAAATAAAATTTATCTGGATGCTGGTGACTGATGCGTATAATCCTCACTACTCGGGATATTCAAGTGTTAGAGTACCAGCCAAGTAAGTGTGAGTTCCTGATCTCAAACCCCAGTCCAACGAAAAAGAAATTTAAAAACAAAGATTAAAACACCTTTGAGCGAAAAACACTCATGAATAACAAGTGATCGCAATTCCTTTCTTAGTTCCTGCAGGAAGGTATGTGCAGATACTTATTCCTGATAAAATTTACCCAGTTCTCAATTCCTTCCACCTAAAATAGGCTTTAGAGACATATACTGTGTTCACTATATGTCTGCTAGCAGCTTCTAAGTAACTCTTTCTTCCTTTCCATTCTAAAGTACCCTTCTCCCTTCTGAGCTGATTGCTCTCAGCCTGTGTACACACCAAGTTCCTATCTGTAGATACTCAAAGTTGCAGCCATCTCCCTTCTCATCTCTTTAATAAACCTTAACGCTAACAGGCTACTCAAATAGTCTTTTCTATTTGAATTGGCAAGGCAAACTATCTCTCTCCACCAAATCCCAATTTGGGATGTGAGAGAAAGCTCTTCAGAATTACACAACAAGCTTGTTACTAGAAACTCAGCAGTCTGTAATGTGCTTCATTCCATCGATAGTTTTGTTCTACATTATTTAGGCTTACAGGAGAAAAATAAGCTTTTGAATTTCTTCTGGGTAATTTTCAATCTAGAGGTAACAAGCTCTTTGCCAAGGAAATAGCTCTCCCATCCACCACGTCGATAGACACCTGGCATTTCTATAGCAAATGGTGAAGTGCTGCTTTTCTGTATTAAAAGATAAGGATGAAAATGCAAGTTCCCTGGAGAGAAGTCGCATTTACAAATTATACTTAGGCAGCCCTGAAAATGATAGATATGAAAGTCTCTCCTAGAAGTAGGTTGAGATATCAAGCAGGAGAGAACATGAGTACTTCAAGGTGACATGCCAGCCAGCACCTGCTCAGAAGGTGGTGTGTTCAGCACTTCGGTCTTTCAGGCTGTAAGTCTGACCTTTCAGAAAATTATGGACCACGCAAACCATAATTAATACTGGGGGAGGGAGGGTGATTTCTAAAGTCAATGCGAAAATCTCAACAAAAAGTGTCGTTTTCTATCATCTCTCAAGAAGACTAGCACTACCAATTGTGTTTTGGCTTTTAAACAGAGTGAATGGATCGTTATTGTTTTACTTGTGCCCCAAGTTATTTGTTTGCATTCGTTTCAAGTCTAAATTGCATACCACAAATGTATGCCCAAAAGTACACTCAATATAGTCACATCCTCTGAACCACAAGAGACAGGGGAAACTCAAGTCTCCCACTGGGTCCATGGAATAGATCCAGTTGTCTCTCATGCTCAAGCTGGCATAGTTTCATGCTCAAGAATGGACAAGTGGAGACAAGCTCAGACAAAATGTAAATGCTTTTCTCTCTGTTTCTTTTTCTTCTTCATTAGCTGAGTAGTGTTGTATTTACACAAGTTAATATCTCATTATTGTTCAACCCCTCCTGCATACTTAATCAAATGCACCATCGTTGGATGCTTCTTAGTCTCATTCTGCTATTGGAGAGAAGATGGCAGAAAGGAAACATTAAGCACAGTGGACCCCTTGGTTTGTGACTAAAGAAATGAGATCACCATTTGAAGCTTTTACTAGACAGACCACAGATAAAATAAAACCCATCTTGATGATTCTCTCTCTCTACCTGCCTCCCTCTCTCTCTTTTGCTCTCTGGGTCTGTCTCTCTGTGTATGTCTCTATGTCTATCTCTCTGTGTCTGTCTCTATGTCTGTCTCCCTCTGTCTGTCTGTCTGTCTCTGTCTCTGTCTCTCTCTGTCTCTGTCCCTGTCTCTCTATCTCTCTCTGTCTCTCTGTCTCTGTCTCTCTGTCTCTGTCTCTCTGTCTCTCTGTCTCTGTCTCTGTCTCTGTCTCTCTCTCTCTCTCTCTCTGTCTCTCTCTCTCTCTCTCTCTCTCTCTCTCTCTCTCTTTCTCTCTTTCTCTCTCTCTCTCTTTCTCTTTCCAGGCTGGTCCACTCAGGTCCAGGGAAGGGATCACCTCAGGCTGGTATGGATCTGTCATTTGCAACACGAACTGGTACCAAGCAAGGAATTGAAACGCATCTCTTCAGGGCAGAGATCAGCAGAGACCTCTCCCATTGGACCAGGAGCATAGTACAGGGGTGTCACAACTCAGCGGAGCTCATCACTGAAGTTACCACCGGTGAGTACTACAGGATACAAGCTACCAATATCACGAACAGAAAGGACACTTCCTCTATGCTGGTCCCAAGGCAGTTTCCATTACCTTTTGAGGCACTTGAGATGTCGGAGATACACCTAAATTCTTCCCAACTAAAATAGCATCGAGGGTTTTTATTATATCATCTTCATTCAAGAAAAATTGGGAGCTTGGATAGTCAATCATCATTCTCCTACCTGTAACCCGGAGTATTTTCTTAAAGGGAGGGGACTTTGAGGTGTGACCAAGTAGGGTTTATTATTTAATAATAATAATAATAAAAGCAAAAGTGAGTTAACATGGGTAGCCATCACTAAATCTATGTCACTGTCTTTCCTTGAACTGGAGGAGTGACTGAGGATAGAGCTCATGGTTTCAGCCCAGAAAGACTCAGGCCTGTTAAAGAGCACACCCGTGGAAGAGATTTGCCCTAAGTACAAGTTGAGAAATGCCACACCATCTGGGGAGACTATCCATGTTTTCATCATAGTGCCAAGTGAAAGCTACTGCATTCTGCAAGCCATAGAAGTCCTATTTCATCCTCCCAACTCTGAAGATCTCCTCTCTCTGAATGGAGGAGAAAAGCTGAGAGATCTTATCAAGGCCCTACCCCATATCCCTCCATCTGTCAGGCGCCAGGGTATGGCCACAGAGTCAAGAGAGCTTAAGTTTGGAAAGCCAAACTTATGGGATTGACCTCTTCAGGCTTTAGGTTTGTTGTTTGTTTTCTTTTGAAACTCACAGTATTGGAGTAACATTCCTGCTTCAAAAGCTTGTGGTAATGTTCAGCTCAGCATGTTTGTAGAAAGCTGAGCAAAGCTAATGATGGCATAGAGTAAGCTTCAATCAATTGTGTTTTACTAGCGAAGAAAATGTCCTGTTTGGCTTTTTTCCTTTAAAAAGCAACTCAGTTAGATGTAGATCAAAGCCTGAGCCAATTGACCTTCCTGAGTCTATGAAATGTAGTGTTTCCTGAGGGAAAAATAAATGCCCAATTGGATGCTTTCTAATCTTTCTCAGAACTCTTTGAGGAAGGATTTTAAATGATATATTCACAGTTCTTCCTAAATAGGAAATAGGATGCTGGTGGCTTTTCCCCTCTCTGTCTAGCTCGCAGACTTTTAAAAGACCTGGACTCTTTTCCTAAACCCAGTAAGACTCTCAGATGAAAACTGGCATCTGGCCTGCGCTGAAGGCTTTCCTTTGGTTCCTTTGATTTGGAGGAGACCCCGTGGATAGCTCCACCCTCCAGGCTCCTGGTGGCCCATAGGCCAGGGCAGGAAATAACATTCTTCACCAAAGGTGCCAAGTAGGAGAGGTGTCTGCAACAGCATTTCCTGGGCTCAAGGTCATCTGGGAAATTAAAAGATCTCATCTTACATTTCTAAAAGGACTTTTGTGCAACTTTCTTTTAAAATTAAAATTTAGATTATTTTTAAACTACTCCCTCTTGACCTCTCAAGTATGTTATATTCATAAGTGTGTTACACATAGTAAGGGAATTTCACTCTTTTCCTACTGCCGTTATAACACTGTGTGTAAGAGTGTATGATGATGATGGTGATGGTAATGAAGATGATGATGATGGTGATGATAATGACGATTCAGAGGTGATTTGCTTTATTCAGATTTACTCTCTATTGTTTCTGGCTTAAGCCGAGGCAAGGTATATCTAATCATTAGAAAGTATAATCTATTTGTAAGGATTAAGTCCAGAAAATATTCATAAAAGGAATTCTCTCCCTTTATAGCCCTCAGTTCTATGAGGCTAGTTAAACTACAATATCAAAATCAATCCAAAGCCTGGCACTGGTGGCTCACGCCTGTAATCCTAGCTACTCAGGAAGCTGAGTTCTGAAGATCTGGGTTCAAAGCCAGCCCAGGCAGAAAAGTCTGTGAGATTCTTATTGCCAATAAATTACCTCCCTCCCCCCACCAAAGAAAAGCCAAAGTGAACCTGTGGCTCAAGTAATAGAGTGCTAGCCTTGAGCAAGAAAGCTCAGGGACAGCACTCAGACCTTGTGTTCAAGCCCTAGGAATGGCATTTAAAAAAATCAATCCAAGGACAATATTTTGTGAACACTGACTGTTTTGTTGCTTTTAACTTTAGTAAGAAATCTGTGCCCAGTCCTGTGCCTAGTCCTTCAGACTAGAAGTATTAAGTGTCTGGGTAAATGGATTGATGAATGATTTCCACCATTTATATTTTTCTCTTTCTCCCTCCAATACCCCAGCTTGCACCTACAGAAACCAGGAGTGCCGTTTGACCATACACTATGAGAATGGATTTTCTATTTCTACTGAACCACAGGAGGGTGCCTTTCCTAAGACAATCATCCAATCCCCTTACGAGAAGCTCAAAATGTCTTCCGATGACGGAATCAGGATGCTCTACTTAGACTTCGGAGGCAAAGAAGGAGAGATTGTAAGTGTGCTTTCTTTTGACAATGTGATTTCATATATCCATTCTTCAACATAGCTAAAATGACTTGGACACCCTAATGCTGCTTCAATTCCATTAAGCATTTGACTGTTAACACAGTACCTATAGGCCTATGTTTTATTTGATCCTTGAAATACAAAGATTGGATTCATTTATATCAAATGGTTTTCAATTCTTTCAAAGGTCTTTTCTTTGGTCTCTTTTTTATTAGAAGAAATCATAAATAGTTGAATCAAAGGGAAGAATCCTTTATAAGGTTAGCATTAAATTCTTATCAAATGGGGTCTCAGCATCTTAAAAAAAATTACAGTTGCTTTTTAAATATATCAAGCATTATCCTGGATGTTAGTGAGGCAGTGAAATAAGCCAAGCAATCTTTACCCATTAAGGAGGTCTCTAAAGAGCAGAAAGGACAGGCCAGGCGCTGGTGGCTCATGCCTGTAATCCTGACTAGTCAGGAGGCTGAGATCTGAGGATACTGGTTCAAAGCCAACCCAGGCAGGAAAGTCTATGAGACTCTTATCTCCAATTAACCACCAAACTACCAGAAGTGTCCCTGTGGCTCAAGTGGTACAGTGCTAGCCTTGAGCTGAAGAGCTAAAGGACAATGCCCAGGCCTAGAGTTCAAGCCCCAGAACCGACCAAAAAAAAAAAAAAAAAGAGTAGAGAGGACAAGAAGAAGCAGGATACACTTAATAAGAAGCAAAGTAGAAAGGTGGGGAAAAAAGGAAAAAAACCCAGTCAACTTTACTTCAGTAGAAAAAGACCAGAGCAGAGTACAGAAGTTTGGGGCTAATATCAAATAACATCTAACAAAATTAGCTTGATCAGTTAAGATAGCATTTCTATTCCTTATATGAACAGCCCAGATATTTAAATAATTCTCCCATGATCACTGCAGCCTAATGAAAAAGTATCTGACTTCAGCTCCATAGAAGATGAGAACCAAACACATTTCCTCTCGCCAGCAAGTATAGTTCTTGGCATTTCTCAAAAAGACATAGCTTCTCATTTAAGCCCTTAATTTTGCAGTAACTTCTCTTGGTTCAGATTTTCCCTGGTGACCAGGTTAGTCAACAACAAGCATTCATTGATTTCCCATTGATAAGAGGGATGGGGAACTTCTAAAACAGAAATAAACTTCCATTTATAAAATCTAGTTATTTCTATGGGCCTTCTGGTTCCCCTACTCACATCTCTTCAGTAGTACTTCTTGTGTGAATTTCTTGATAACTTTCTGGAAACCATCAGGAATTTTCTACCAGGGGCTAACTGGAGGAAAAGGCACAGAGTATAAGGGACATTTAATTCCAAATTTTACACCACTGTTCTACATGGTGGCACTACTAACCTAGACAAGGCTGCCCACTATGCCAGACCATTACCTAACAGTATTCATTCACTTTTGGAGAACTTTTCCCAACCAACCACCTTTCTAACTTTTACAACAAATCCACAAAACACCACTGGAATGTGTGTGTGTGTGTGTGTGTGTGTGTGTGTGTGTGTGTGTGTGTGTGTGTGCGTGTGAGAGAGAGAGAGAGAGAGAGAGAAAGAGAAAGAGAGAGAGAGAGAGAGAGAGAGAGAGGAGAGAGAGAGGGGGAGAGGGAGAGAGAGGAGAGGGGAAGAGAGAGAGAGAGAGATTCAATATTTTAAGTATAGACTGAAGGATCTGTTTGGAAATAGTGATTTGAGACAAAGTCCATTTTCCTAAGAATACTTTGCTACTCTACCAATCATCCAACTCCATACTTTTTCCTAAAGGTAAACAACACACTAGCAACGTGGAAAAGAACACCAATCAATCCCCTATGTTAGCTGTAGCTTAAAAATTCAAGGCTGTCTTTACCCATGAGGAAAATCACTTATGTCTAAATTTCAGCCTTTCTGACTGTAATTACAACCTGACTGGGAAATTTTAAAGAAAGCTTTCTTTTAAACTGCAGGTACGTTAGGTTGATGAGCTCAGGTCCCAGTGCACGGTACACAAGAGCAGCAGGGAGGCCTTGAACCCTTCAGCGGGTGAGAGGAGGGCAGGGATGAGCTGTAGCAAACGTAAGAGGCTGAGAATCAGGGTTTTTTTTCCCAGAATTTTCTTTCTGAAATTGAAAACAACTCACCCGTTGTCTTGGCCAAGTTGTTTTATTTCTCTGGGTGTGAGTCTCCCCATTCATAAACTACAAGAGAGAGAAGTGGGCAGGTGAGAATGTTCCTTTGGAAACGTTGCTCCTGTGTTAGTGACATTGAATGTCATGGTCTACCAGAGAGACTTGTGTGTGTGCGTTCACACCTGCCGTTGACTGCAAGAGCTGTGATTCCAGAAAGCTTTACAACTTGTCTCAGTCTGAGCTTTATTACGTAAAGATGAAGATAGGAACAAGGTGCTGCTTCATAGACATTTTGTGGGAGAAAAATCTAACAAGATCCTGGGTAGGATAGTATCTGAACACTAATCAATACAGCCTCTGCTTTGGTAGATGTTTGTGTGTGCTTGGGTTGTGATTCTTCTTTCCCAATAGTGTCATCATTATCATCACAAAACTGGGGGCAGCAGAAGAGAAGACAATAGCTCCCCCAGTTTTCATAAATTCGATCACCTGGTAAAACTCAGCTTCTAAAAGACCTTCACACTTTGACCCTGCCTACATATGCTAGGTTCTGCAGGAGCCCTACCAAGAAGACAGAGCTTTAGGGGTCACCTCCGTAGACATAGGACATACATGCTGACAAGGATAAGAACAGAGGACAATGGGGACACAGCTGTTGGATGTGGGCTCTGGGGTCATCGTTGACAAGGGATTTTTATGTGGTATAACTTAGTTAATACTTACCTGCACCTTAGACCTGTCCCTTACTAGAACTGAAAACTGCTAAGTGACTTGGCCAAGATTCCACATCTACAAGGTGTCAGAACCCAGACTCACCATCTTCAGATGGGAGATTTAGTACTGCTTCATGCTATAATAAACCCAACATAAATATCACTATTGTGGAATCCAAAATAAATTGTTTAGACGGTCAAGAAGGGGAGCATCCATATTTATGGAGTTGCTATAGATAAATTTCACGGAAGCTATTTCAGGAAATAAAAAAAAAAAAACCTATGTGAGATGTAAGGAACCAGTTCAAAGAGTGATTCCTTCATCTCATTGGGGGGCCATGATTTTAAAACATAATTGCTCCAGTTAACACTGAAAGGCTGGAAGTGCGTATAGATTCGTTTGATGTGTAAATCACTGTTTGGTATCAAGCATTAATTTAAAAAACCTCTCACGGCCTCTTCTTTTTTTAAATTTCAGCAACTGGATCTTCATTCCTGCCCCAAGCCAATTGTTTTCATCATTCATTCCTTCCTGTCGGCTAAGATTACAAGACTGGGCTTGGTGGCCTGAACGGAGAGGGGCGACTTGCCTTGGGAAAGGAGAAGCGTGAGGCCACAAGGGGGCGACATCAGACACCACCCATAGTGAGCAGGGCAGTGGATGTAGCCCTCCACAGTCAGCTGTAGGGTTCAGGAGTGCGAGTTTTGTCTCAGGCTCCTCTGTCAGGTGCAGCAACACCAGGGGAACCCTAAGAAATTACCATGAGGGATATCAGAAATAAATCTTCTTAGCACAGAGCAAGGTTAAAGCAGTGAAAACCAGTGGAATACACATAGCCTGGCTTCTAAATAATGACAAGCAAGGACATGGCCATTAAGAATAGCATGCGCAGATCTTAATCATACCAGTCTCTAAGCAACTGGTTCACCCAAGTAAGCCAAGGCCGAATAGATGAGATATGGATATTTTCATCTACTCCCCCCATCCCCACCACCTAGCCCCAGGAACGGTTATCCCCCCGTTTTATCGTGATTTCTTCATTCTAGTTGAGATGACTTTCACTGGTAGGGGAAGATAAATACTTCCAATGAAAACCTACTTCTTATTGGAGTATGAAGCAGCTGTTGCATTTATTTTCTTAACCAAGTATCTGTTGGTGGTGTAGAATGATTCCAAAGTGCTGTCATCCACTTACATGGTGCAGAAATTACACAAAGTGTCAGATCCAGATCCGAGCTGTAAGTTGGTAGAATCAGAGCTGAGACAGAGTGCTTGCATTGTGAAGCTTTGTGGAAGAATAGTCTACAAAACCGATAATTCACTGTAGGATAACGTACACACACCAAAATATGGTCTCTTAAACCCAAGACTAAAATCTTTATGGGCTAAACAAACAAACAAACAAATCATGCCTCTGGGGCATGTAAATTTCCATGGTTGAAGTGAACTAGTTGTTTCCATTTCGTGATAGTGAAAGTTCGGAGCAGCTGATGACCTGTTTTCCTACCAATTCATTTCCTACACACGCGTTTTCTTTCATTCTTTTCTTTTTCTTGCCACTAATATTTTTAATGAGCTTGGGAATCTTACTCCATTCATCCTTCATAAAAATAAATTCCCTTCAATGGATTTAACTCACTTCTTTACAGTTAAACATCCAATCAGTCATTTCAATGCTAAGTCTAGAAAACTGAAGTGTTACATGCTGCTATGTGTGGTAAGAGCCTCATATTTTTTAATCCTGTTTTACCACAACACATGTATGTGGGCATGCATTTTCAAACATGTAATGGAGAAGCTGCTCATTTAATTCTAGATGATGCTGGGTTTTACATATGAACCCTGCACTGTAATCAGATCTACTGCTACCATCTGCAGCTCTACTAGAATTCCAGAAAAATAAGACAACCATCTGATATTTTTCTACAAGAATACATTGACACAGTATAGAGCACACTACTGACTTAACACTTTGGCTTTTATGTTTGAAGATTAATTCACCCATGATTTTGGAGTCATTTTCCTCAAAGCTCAATCAGAATTAGAACTTGTGTTTATTTCTTCCCTGAGGCTTACCTAGACCTGTGGTCTGCATTAGATCTGTGTGTTTCATGAGTCCTGTGTTAGTAAATACCTATGCAAAGAGCTTTCACAAGTGAAACTCTTGACAGAAGTGTGAGTTTGCTCCATTTATATCTATTGAGTTGCACTTTTATTTTCCCCAAAATATGCATCATATGCTAGTAGCTTCAAGGTGCGTTGATTGAGTGGTGTTTTAGCTTGGGAGTGGAATAGGACTTTTGATAAGAAAAACGTTGCTGAATACGGAGTTCTGGAAAGGCTACACAGAGGCCACCATTGCTAGCTTCCTTGAAAGCTCTATGTGCATCGTCATTGTTCAAGAAGGGGTGAGGTGTGGCCATTCCTCACATTTACCTATGGAACTCCTTTCTAAAAGAGCATCTTGTGAAGCTGTGTTTTCTGCAACAGTGCTTTAGAAAACACAGCTTTAGACTGTTAACTTTCTATCTGTTTCTGATTTTCAAATGCTGAAGAGTAAAGTCATAGCTTAAATAATGTAGGAAAGTATTGATGTAAATTATATTGCACTCTTTCACTATATATTTTCAAAAAATCACTGGAATGTTGTTATACAAGAGAATTATACTTGTGTATTGTAAATAACATATTAAGATGCATATATTAATGCCAATAGTTTAATTCAACAATATGTAATCCAAGGTGCTCGGTACTACATGAAGTATGAGTTAAATACTCATAATTAAGTTGCAAAGAGCCTATTATATATTTATAGACAGATTAAAATGACCATAATTACAAATATTATTTCTTCACCACTTATGTTTTGGACTGATTCATATGTGTGCAAGGGTCAACAGAAATTATATCCTCTACATTTATAAAATTTTAATTTAAAATATTTATATTTTAGGGAAAATATATTTGAATAAAACTGATGCATTTTCTGAAGTAAACTAAAATGTGTTATTAGCAAGAAATAGAAACTTTTACTAAGAAAATTGTGTTTATGAATCATTTTTTTTCTTCCCAATTAAAGTGTACCATATCAGAATGGCTATGATGAATTAATTTCAAATGTTCAATTTTTTTCATGTTGAAGAGTGTGTGTGTGTGTGTGTGTGTGTGTGTGTGTGTAATACTGGGGACTGAATATAGGGTATAGCCCTTGATGGGCAGGCACTCTACCTCTTGAGAAAGTACATCTCCAGACCAAGATGTCTCAGTTTGAAGTTTTTAAAAAGTTACAGTAACTTTATATACTTTCATCTTGTCTTGATGTGTGTTAGTATGTATAACACAAACTCATAAGTCTGTACTACGCCTGGCCATTTGGGGAAATTGTTTTATCCAACATTGTTCCATACTCAGTTCTGTTTATTATTAAAATCACATGCTTATCCCTAAATAAAAACCAACACAGATGTACTATTTTTAATCTATATTTTTTGGACATTCATTCATTTGTCAGTATAAAAAGGTGACTTTTCTGATGTGACAAATCTCTGCAAGCCATCTTACAGGTATTTTTTAAAGGCCAATAGGAATATACCACTTTTTACTGATTTAAACTAAATAGAAATAAAACTGTAAGCTTATTATAAAATACCCAGGCAGAGGTATTTAATTAATTCTATTAGTTGATAGAATTAATATCCTGAAAACACATTTTCTTCATCCAAAAGCTTGTTGATCCTGCTTGGTTCAAGTCAGGAAGAAAGGCCCTTCAGGGTTAGAATGACTCTCATAATTCATATGCAGGGTCTTTCTAGCCTATTTTGCAAATATTAAATATTCCATATTGAGGGAGTCAGAGACGTTTTTGGATGTACCTTGAGGTGTTTTGGTTTAATGTACTTAAAACACCTTTACCATCCTTGTACAACTTAAACACACACACACACACACACACACACACACACACACGTATTACATGAATATTCACACCTAATTTCTAGTGCAGAGCTTATGTTAGCTCCAAATATGGTGAATTGCATATGGGTTTCATGATAGGCAGACAGGATCATGGAAGTACAAAAACAAATCCTGCTGTTCTCTTCCACCAAGATTGGCCATGGAAATGCTCATGGGTAAAAGGGCTGCCACTAGTAATTGTGTGTGTGTGTGTGTGTGTGTGTGTGTGTGTGTGTGTATGTATTCTCTCTTTTTTCTCTGAAATCATTATACAATTTTTATGGTATTCCAGCAAACCCTGACTGACTCCATATAAAATATTCATATTGTTTACAAATTAGTTTCAGGATAGGTTTTCTCCTACATTCCCAAATATAGTTTTAGGATGGGTTTTTTTTTTTTTTCACCTAGGACCTCCAGCTCTTATTTTTTAATTTTACCTGTTTACCAAAGTCCAAATACTCAAATTCTCTAGCATACCACAATTTTTATTTTTTAATTACTTGTAATAATTGTAACAGGCTGGGATCTAGAAGTATTTTTACTGCTACTTCAGCTGTATTGCATTTTGAAATGTGCTTCGACGTCATTGAGCACATTTATGCCCAAAGTCTGCTTATATGTTAAGCAGAACTACAGTCGCATATATTAAGGCATCTGATTTGCTATAGCAATGCAGTATGTAGAAAAAAAGAATATACAACCATGCATTGACATTTTTTAAGTGTTTAAAGTTTGTACCACCCAAAGTCTTCCCAAGTGTCCACTATGGTCCAGCTGCCACGTTTTAGGAAACATTGACCTTGAATACTATGCCACGAAACTCTGGCATTTCTTCCTGAACATCTTTGAAGTTGTTCATCCAGCCTGAAATTAAAAATTTCCAGCTATCAGAAGTGAATTCCTTATCTCAGCAGGCAGGCCCGCTCCATTGCTGGATGGCTGGAGTTGTTGGAAAGGTCTTGCATTCTTACCGCCCATCTGTCTAACCTTCAGCGTGACCCTGGGTCTACCTGAGAAAACACTGCAAGTCCAATTTCTCTTCCACTCGAATGTCCTATCTACAAAGGCAAGTCAAGGCTGAGAGCAACAATGAGAGGGAAAGTGCACAGAAAATGGCTTTACATGGGACATTTAACATTCCTTATTTGCATTTGTTTAAAAAGAAAAACGGTTAACCAAGATGAAAACCTTTCATAATACCTAATATGCTGGGAGGTAAAATAACATTTATAAGGCCACCAGTAGGTATATATTTGGGAATAATTTGGAGAGCAGTTTTTGACATCCATACAAATATTGACATATATGTACTTTTAGACTCGTGGGAATTGATTCCAGAAATATGGTTACACAAGTGCAAAACAATTAACAAGGATTATCTTTTTTTTTAGGGGAGGGGGGGTGTCCGGTCATGGGGCCTGAACTCTGGGCCTGGGCGCTGTCTCTCAGCTCTTCAGCTCAAGGCTAGCACTTTACCACTTGAGCACAGCGCCACTTCCAGCTTTTTTTCTTTTTGCTTATGTGGTGCTGAGGAATCGAACCCAGGGCCTCAGGCATGCAAGGCAAGCGCTCTACCACTGAGCCACCTTCCCAGCCCAACAAGGATTATCTTTGTAGCATCATTTATGACAATCTTAAAAAGTCAAATAACCTATATAGAACCCAGTACACAAATATGGGTGAATAGTTTGTGAGTGTAAGTTCTAGTATAGAGGAAACCTCTTAGCCTCAGTTCTGTAAGATTCTTGTTTTTGTTTTGTTTGTTTTTATGTACTGCTTTGGGGGCTTGAACTCAGGGCCTGGAAGCTATTCCTGAGCTTGTCAGCTGAAGGCTAGTGCTCTGCCACTTGAGCTACAGCTACACTTCTGGCTTTTGGGTGATTAATTGAAGATAAGAGTCTCACACACTTTCCTGCCTCTGCTGGCTTCTAACCATGATTCTCAAATCTCAGCTTCCTGAGTAGCTAGGGTTACAGGCGTGAGCCACTGATGCCCAGCACCTTTGTGTTTTCTTCTAAAATGGTTTTTGAGAAGACTCAAAGTGTTGTCCCTTCCTAATAGGGCCTCTTTGGACTCCTGTCCACGAGTTGTTTGGTATCACAGGGCCTGGAGGGAGGGAGCCTGCTGTTGAGTTTTCAATAAGTAAAAGCTAGGGTGGTAAGATAACATACTGATGGCAATTGTCTATCAAGCGAGAGCAGTCCTTATACATTTTGTTTCATATCTTCTAAAGTCATGTAAGTGAAATTCTTGTAAACACGATCTGAATCTAGACTTTGGCTTCATTTTTATGGGAAAATATTTTGATTCTATGTCTTCTGTATTTTCTAGATGGGAACTATCACACATATGGAAGAAAGATTTGTGTACAAAGGATTGCTCAGGAAATTGCTCAACATGGCTGACAAGTTCCCAGAAGCAAGTCTGTATACAATACTGGACTTATTGTTACAATCAGTCTGACTTACTGATGCCTCATTCGTGAGGAACCTAGATAAAAGTCAAATGCTGGATTTATTTTTAGCTTCTAGGATAAGGAGTACCATGGCCATTTCCATACTGAAGTGCATATTATTTTATTATCATTACTTTTCCTTTGAAAACCTTCTTTACCATATGCAGGTTGTATCCCTGCACTGGACACATTGTACACATACAATATAGGTAGGCAGTAGATGTATATATGCATATACATATACAGTCCTTACATTCCTTTAGTATCATCTCATCTCCTAAATTCCCAGCTACTGTTCAAGCTTGGGCACCTCCATAGCTGGTTCTACTTGATCCAAGCAAGTATTTCTGGTACTTAGATCAAACCAGCTGACAGCTTGTAAATGCTGCCTTCCTTCCTGCAGCCAGTCTGCTGTCCAGCAGCGAAAGATATGTACTTAAATTTCTGGGTTCTGTCATCAATTCCAAGCAGATAAAAGCCATAGGGCCCAGCTGTTAAAGGTAACAACCTAAGCAATGCATAACTGCAGGGGATTTAAATCTTTGTGGGGGGCCAAATAGTTAATAGAAACTGAGCAGTTAGGTAATCTTCCTCCCCTCCCCCCTCCTTTCCCTCTTCTGCTTCCCCTCCTTTTCTTCCCCTTCCCCCACTTCCTTTTCCTCTTCTGCCTCCCCTCATTCTTCCCTCCTTTCTCCCTCCTCTTCCTTCTCCTCATCCCTTTTCCTCCCCTCCTCCTCCTTCTCTCTCATCTCCCTGATCTTCCTCCTCCCCACCCCCCCCCCCACTCCCGCCCTTCTACTCTTCCTCTTTCCTGTGATCTTGTATCACCTTGCCTTGTCTTTTCCTCTTCCTTTATCATCACTCTCAGTGGCCTGAGATTGGTTGGGCCTCCTAAATAAACCATCAGTACTTAATCCTTGCCTCAGGTTTTGTGTTCTTGCACCGAGATCACTATTCATGACGGCAAAGGGTGTTCAGCATATTTCTTCTAAGAGTGTTTGGGTCAGATCAGTGGAGAAATAATGAGCACATACATCTGAAGTATCTGGAAGGATACATTTAAAATACCTGGAAAAGCTTCTATTACCAATCACTGCAGAGAAATGGGTCCAGGGATGATGGATATGACCTGAAAACCTTCTATATTTCATGAACTTCTTTATTATGTGTTTGAAAACTCTCCTTTAAAAAATTCTTTTTCATGAAAAATAATTAATTTAATCTGTTGATGTAAAATGTTGAGTAACAGAACTATTAGAAGATGTGACTAGAAATCAATGCCATCCATGGTCCTTAAATTACATTTGACTTCAGTAGGGGCGGCACATCTAATACCTCATTAAAATGATTAAACCTTGTGCAGAAAGACATCTGAATAGTCAGAAAAGCTGGAGGAAATTTTGTTGGCTTTTTATTCTGTTCATTTTTCTCATTGGTCATGAATAAGACCTTTAAAAGAGATAAGAAGCTCCACAGGATGGCATTGCTCAGCCAGGGTCACAGCAGTGGGTGGTGGTGGGAAATAAGGAAACGCTATGGAGACAAAAACCAACAGGCTTAGCCTAAAGACTATGATGTTCATACTGTGGCTGGGCCAAGGCCTGGGAATAAATATAACAATAAAACTTTGCTCCTCTCAAAACACAAAGCCATTTATATTTTCAGCAACTTTTATTTATAGTTATTTGGAAGAATACAA